TGGCGCTTGTACTGCAAGGGAGGAGGGGAGAAGAGAGGGTGAAGGGGGACCCAGGTATGTGGGAGGTTGGGGGGGACTGGGGGGAGATGGGGTTGAGGGATCCATGGTCAACCTAGATGTTCTCCCAGGGAGCAGGTGGTTGGGAACCCACGGGCACCCGATGTCTGTATGGGGACCCCAGGGGTTGAGGGACCCATGGACACCTCAGATGTTCTCCTGGAGACACCAGGGGTTGGTGTCCATGTAGCCATCCCATATCTATGCAGGGCTTGAGGGACCCAGGGGTTGGAGGACCCATGGCCACCCTACATCTACCCAGGGGTTGCGGGACCCACAGACTGGGGGACCCATGGCCACCCCATATCTACCCGGGGTTGAGGGACCCATGGTCAACCAAGATGTCCTCCTGGGGAGCAGGGCGCTGAGGACTGATGGCCTCCCTGTGTCTGTATGGGGATCCCAGGGCTTCAGACACCCATGGCCACCCCACATCTACCCAGGGGTTGAGGGACCCGTGGCCACCCAATGTCTGTATGGAGACACCAGGGATTTGGAGGACCCATAGCCACCCAAGATGTCCTCCTGGAGACCCAGGGGTTGGTGGCCCAGGAGGTTGGGACCCCCCAGTCACCCCCCGCCCTTGGGAGGACCCACGCGTCCAGACTCACCAGGATGAGGACCTTGCCGAGACAAACAAAGGGGGTGCTTAGCTCGGCCATCAGGAGACACCCCAAGAAGAAGTCGCCCTTCCCCTGGCGCCACAGCTGGGGGGACACATGGGGACATTGCGGGGGGGCACAAGGAGACGGGGCGACATGAGGACACACAGGTCACACAAGGGCACGGGTGGTTGGAGGACAAGGGAACAGGCGTGCCCAACTTGGGCTGTCCCCATCTCCCTGTCCCCCAGGTGTCCCCAAGGGGACCTTGTCCCCATTCCCGCTCCCCATGGCCACAGGGAAGCCATCAAGCACCAAGGTGGTGTGCTAGACTTCCAGGAGCACGTGTGTGTCAAGTTGATGTCCCCCCACCCCATGTCCCCAAATGTCTCCGGGTCCCCATCCCCAGAGTCATGCAGAAGTCAGCAAGGACCATAGTGGCATGGTGGACCTCCATAACCACGTCCATCCTAAGGTGACATCCCTCCATCCTACATTCCCAAGCAAACTCCATGTCCCCAACCCTTTCCCATGTCACTGAGGTGTCCCCAAGGCCTCCGCGTCCCCATCCCTGCTCACAGTGACCATGGAGAAGCAGATGAGCACCATGGTGGCCTGGTGGACCTCCATGACAACATCCATCCCAAGGTAATGTCCCTCTATCCCATGTCCCTGAGCCAACCCCCTGTCCCCAACCCATCCCAATGGCATCCCCAACCATCCCATGTCCCCATCTTCACTCCCCATGGCCATGGGGAAACCAGTAAACACCATGAAGGTGTAGTGGACCTCTACGAGCATGTCCATCCTGAGATGATGTCCTTCCATCCCAGATCCCCAAATCACCCCAACCCGTTGTCCCCAAGCGTCTCCATGTCTCCATTTCCACCCCTACAGCCACAGGGAAGTCAACAAGCACCACAGGGTTATGGTGGACCTTCATGAGCACGTCCATCCCAAGGTGATGTCCCTCCGTCCCACATCCCCGAGCCAACCCCATGTCCCCGGCATATCCCCGTGTCCCTGAGGTGTCCCCAACCCTCCCGCGTCCCCGTCCCCACTCACGGCGGCCACAGGGAAGCAGACGAGCACCATAGCGGCGTGGTGGAGCACCATCAGCATGTCCTTGCGCAGGTAGGCGCCGGCGGCCGCCCTCAAGGATGGAGGAGGTGCCACCTCGTGTCCCTTCACCCGTCCCCGGTGCCAGTGACAGAGGAACATGGCGTAGACGTCGTAGATGAAGTAGGGGACGGCGAATTGGGGGTACGCCCCCGCCA